TGATTAGATTCGTTAAGTTTTCTTTACTCTGTACACCTCAGACTTGTACTCCAATTAAATCCTCCAATACTCCTCTGCAACACGGTAAATTTTTTGATCACTAAGCCATTCATGAGAGTCACATCGTGAAGTGTGCAGGCACAGTAAACCATTCCACAAAGGCTTCAACTGCGCATTTGACAAGAAAGTTGATACAGCCAATCACATGACTTTCCCTATTATTTATTGTATTGGTTTGCCGCTTACCCTATTTCCCGAAAGTTGTATCTTTGTATATTCAATAAAAGGAAGTAAAAAATAAAAAAGTCCCATATACGTGAAAAAGGCTGGTGGTCAAATGCGAAAAGGGTGGGCAAACAAACAAGCGATTTTACAGTCAGAATATTACCTACATGCATTCGGAAGGAAGATAAATGTATTTGTATTTCGGTAAACAATTGAGCACTTGAATTGGCGTTTTCCTCAAATAGCTATAGATGATGATGTCTGAACCATGAGAAATGTTTGAGCGTAAGATGAATGGGATAATGTGAATAGTTCGATTGATTGATTCGACTGATAACTGAATCTGACACACTAAAAAGGTGTTTTGATCACATATAATCTATGTTAATAACTTGTGTAAACTTATATATTTACACACAGAAGGAATTTTCATCCGGGTGCACGTGCAACACCGATAGTATCCGTCAGTGCTAGAATGAGTTTAGGTCAGAGCAATATGGGGAACAGGAAGAAGACGTAAATTATTGCCTCGGCGATCCAAAAAAACGTCTGTGACATTCGTTTTTGGTCTGTCACATTCCTTCGTTTACGTTTCACTCCCGGTGCTTTGTCCCACTACAACCCGACTGCCTTAAGGCACGATGTTAATTCAATGCGATAGAGGGAGAACGACAAAGACAAATTGATGAGATGGGGTGTGTTTGCTGTTCCGATAAGTAGACGTGTCCATGAATAAGAGCCCTTGCTTGTCCATGCGAACATAGAAGTAAATCGAGGTTCAGGGGTGCGCGTTGGATAAAAATGACTCATCCAACGGCATCAATCCGAAGGCTTTTGTTTCGTCTAATTTGTGTGCACTACCCGTATTCAAGGGGGGAGGCCATATATGTATATATACGCACATAAAGGCCCGGGGATATCATCACACCACAGTCCCTGTGAGGAGGAGAAGGAAAAGGGTCTCTCTGTCCGAGTAGAGGAAACAAAAACGAGAAAAATATGAAACCCTTCCCCTATCAAATTGAAATCGTACACCAATTCGTCCGATGAGTAGGCGGTCAAACATACTTGTACAAGCCAACAGGGTTGAAAGGGATCTTGAGCTTGTAAACCAGACCAGCAAGCGGACCCTCGAGGTCGACCAGTGGGTTGAACAGACCAGCTCAAACTGACTGGGACTTGAGGTGCGGAAGATAAACTGGTGGGTTTGGTCACACTCCAAGGGTTGGTTTGCTGCTCAGAAGACAAAACATTGTCTGACAATATTTGACAAACCTGAAGAGCATGGTGCGATGAATGAGGGAAAGATACAGAACAAAGCTATTAAATAGAGTGAATTTAGGGCAAAGCACAGTGAACTACTATCCAGTGGAAACGATTTAAGTAATAAGAAAGTGTGAGAAAACAAAAGCCTCCAAGAGCATTATAGTTTTGGACTACAGTGTCATGTATCAGTATGACCATGCCCGTGTGCTTTGACTAACGAGGTGGGCTGATCCACTCGTATGCAGTCCTCCAAAATTAACCGAGCAACACAAACTCTACTGTTGGTCCAATTGGTAGTGAATCTGTCTACGAAGAGCGAAGCTTTTTATTAAGACCTAAAGGATACTGGAGCGAAGGGTATCAAGGCGAATTTATGACACAATTAACAGAGCATATTGATCGAGATCTTCAGTGGTTCACTGATGGCAATATGGTCACTGGGTACACTGGAAGCTCGGTTTGTCCATTCGGAATACATACCTTCAGGGAACTCTAAGGGAATAGGGTTCAGTGAACTATTAATCTTACAATTTGGTCCGCTGCCTAATGTACAGCCGAAAAATACAGGGATTATCTAACCGTGATTATTATGAACATAAATATTTATCAAAATTAGATACGAGGTTAACTTTCCACTTCCTTCCGAGGTGTACATGTGTGTGTGAGCTCTACAAACCGCACACCACTGAAAACGTTTTAAACCTCGGCAAAGTATACCGAACTCAGTGAAGGCGTTGAGACGGAGCCAGAAGCATCACAGACAGTTGTTTAGCATCCGTTTCATTACCACCCTTTTTCACTGCCACTAAATTTTCCGAAATACAGCAACCATCTGAGTGCAATTTCAACAGGGACCTAAACGGAGATTATTCTGATTGCACAAGAAGTAGTAACAGGTGAGATACAGATAACTTTCATTCATTCAAATTCAGCAAAACTTACCTCTAACAACGGACCGGGGACACGGCCCAAAATGCAGCCCAACAGATTCAGACATCCAGATCGTAAATCGACTAGACTATTGTAAGTCCCGCTTAAATGGACCAATTGATGCAATCCGGGCAACAGGCCACTCAACAATCCGGGTTTCAATCTCGGATAAGGTGTAATCAGAACCAAGGTTGTCAGTGCCTTCAATAGTAAACCCTGGAGCATAGACATGAAGCAAACGAGACATGCGCAGATAGGTGGAACGCGAAATAGCATCGATTTTCATCCGTTGAAAATGTGAGCACAGTAAAAAAGATAGACATGTCGATTGAAAACCGAGTTCATGAAGATAACTTCTCGAATTTAAATATCAGAGCTTTTGAAAAAAATTAAAAAAATAGAATAGATTCTCTTCTGAACAAAGTCTGAAGAGGAGAGGGTATTTCGCTTGGGGTTGAGGATTCGAGCTGAACGATGTATTTAAACAATAAACAAACAAACAAAAAGTTAAGGATGGTGCACTGAATTCAGTTTTGGAGGACTTCTACATATCTCATTTTCATCATTCCACTTTTCTGAAGAACGACACTCCACGCGCAACCGATTACAAGTTTTTAACGGGGCGTTTGATGCACAGCGAAGTTCAAACTAAGAACTACCAATACAATATTCGGTCATATACAGACTACACGTCAGTCTCGTACACGTGATTGAAACCGAAGGAATTGACAGCCAGCAGAATTACAGACATAAGTCAACCGATCGAAAACGCATCGAGATTCAGGGCTCACAAAAAGCTGCCTTACATCGTAATACAGGTTCCAGCATTATATCAAATGGGGAAATAATATATTTGTATTTTTGTCATTGCTGATAACATCCAAATAGCTCGGGAAAATACTGTATACGTATTTGAAGTGTTTTTCACACCCCATTTGTTCGAATCCCATTTAGCTGATGAAAGGACTGTCCCATTTCGTAATTTAACCTACGAGAGCTCAATGTACGTCACCAATCATCAGATGAGGACTAAGTTCTTTGACCTGAGCAAATTAAAAAATAATAATTGTTTGATCTCAATAGCACTGCAGTCCCTTGACGTGCCCAAACACGACAGAAAATAATTACGTTTCAGTCCACCATAGTCGACCTATACAAAATCATTCAGTGCACGACAATCTACCGAACGGGATTCAATGTAGATATTTTCGCCTCCAAGTTGCACCGCAGTAACTTCAAGTGAAACCATTGTGGGCATTCTACCGGGAAGCCCTCAAAGTGGTATACAGTAACACAACCCGAGGGCTTGTTATCACTCCAAGAAACACTCAACGCGGCTTACCAATGGTCTATGGAGAAAGACATTGAATTTAATATTTCTAACTGCAAAGCCCTATCCCTACGCTACAGGAGTAAATTCCCGTATTTCCTCGGAAATCAACAGCTTTCACATACCTCAAGTTAGAAAGGCCTCGGAATATTTTTTTCCAAAAGACTTAAGCTGTTCGATCAATTGCACCAGTACTCCGTCCGCTGCTGTAAATAATGCCAACTTGCTTAGGCGCGTTTTTGGCTTGTTTGAATCAGCATTGTTCCCAAGCTTACTTTCACCGTACAGTCGACCGTACACGAAGTACGGAGGCAACAGTTACAACGTGATTATGTCTCGGTGGTAACGTCACCAAATTATCCCCTACAGAAGACGTGTGTTCGAATCCCACCACCACCGCTTGATTTCCCCATCGTGGGTTGTTTAGCAGCCCTTTGATTGGCTATTTACTCCTTCCTGAAAATTGTATCACTATGTATGCAAAAAGAAAAAATGTAAAAAAGGATACTGGAGGGCCGACAAAGGATTTCCACGAGGATGGTTAAGGGATTGCACTGCTTCAAATGCAGGGATAGATTACGATCATTGGAACTATATTATACTCAATACCGCCGAATTCGAGGAGACTTGATTTTGGTGTGTCAAGTATTTCAGAACCCAAACCATCCTTGTCGTCCGTTGCTCACGTTGTCACCCAACATTCACCTTAGGGGACATTGTTTCAAGTTGTTGAATCCCAAGTGTTGACTGAAATGCTTGTGTCAATCTTTTGCAGTCAGAGTAGGCACCACTTGGAACGCCCTTCCATCTCACGTTGTTTGTGCGCCAACCGACAAATCTCTCAAGCGGATACTTAATGAACCCCTGGCACACCTCACAGCCCTACACAACTAAAAATGCAAATAAGTTGAAGGCTAAATTATGTGTTATCTCCTATCGAGAACCACATGAGATATTCGTCGCTTTTTGTTGAGAAACGATTCAATTGCGTGAGTATTCTACGGGGACAAGAGAAGCATGAGCTTGCAAGTAATTCCCAAAGAAAAACTGACTTTAAACGTGGTTGGTTGGTGTTTCGGATATTACACGCTGCTCATTGGACCGGGCCTATCACAACGCCAGCCCAGTAGAAATGAACTCGTTTCTCCTTAAATAAAAGGTATACTTTTCGAGTGAGTTACGGGCCAGGATAAAGGTTCTGATGGGGTAGTTTCAGACATTTTACCCCCACCCCCGAGAACTCTATGCCCTTGACCGTTGACTTACTGAGCTTTGGACGAAAATGAATGAACCCGATGGTAATTGACCTCGAACGGTCGGGTAAGAAAACGAGTCACACCAAGATAGAACCATAAAATCAGGTGTGAATGTTCGCATGGGACGGTGCACGGGTGAGTTCGGTCAAGACGGTAAATGAACTAGTGAGTAGATTTCATTTGCGCTGACATTCCCTCGAATTTCACCGCTTCCTGTTGAACTTGATGCAATGCTTTCGGCATTGAAAAGCAAGCACACTTGAAAAACTGCTTAACAGTAGTAGCCGAATACCTATAAAAAAACTAGCAGTATTTCACCGGAATAGCAAGACCCGACCTGAAATTCTATCCTGGCTACCAGAAGTTATATTTCTTCACTGTGATTACAGGATTGACTATTGCATTTTACGCTAATGATAACGATTCAAAACATACATTCACCCTTGCCACTTATCCTCGTTGTACAGTTTCGCATCCTTGTTGCATAAGTCCTCATTTTGGCACATCTCTTCACGGCCTGATTGCATTTGCTATTCATAGGTAGCACCATTTTCATCAAAAGTGTGTTGGACTTGAAATCGAACGGACCCAATGTGTCTTTGAAAGACATGTGCTACTGATTTAATTTATTTACTCATAGTTATCAGAGTTAAAGAATTTTTCGTGGTAATGCCTTTTAAATGT